AGCAATAGTGCAGTTAATAGCAATAGTGCAGTTAATAGCAATAGTGCAGTTAATAGCAATAGTGCAGTTAATAGCAATAGTGCAGTTAATAGCAATAGTGCAGTTAATAGCAATAGTGCAGTTAATAGCAATAGTGCAGTTAATAGCAATAATCTCATGAAAGAGATTATTAACACCGGGAAAGCAGTCCAAGGAGCATGTTTAATTTCCTCCAAATTCTTGATGTGCGTGCTATTTAAGGAGGCAAAATAACAAATACCTTACATAATTTTATTTTAAGAATTTAAAATAATAAGATTTAAATACTTTACATTATTTTAAATTAAATAGCTTACAATAATTATATTTAAATACTTTACAACAATTTAACCTTAATACTTTCCAACAGGTTAATCAAAATATATTACCTTAATTGAAATTCATTATTTTACAATAATTGATATTAAATTCTGTTGATTGATTATACTTCAATGCAATATAAAAACTAAAAAACGCGATAAATTACAAGATTCGTGTACATTTCTTAAGGATGCGGCAAAGCAGAAGCTTTGAATGTAAAGTCGAATAAGTTTGAAAGGAAATGCGTGTTCGTGCAGTTCAAAGAGAAGCAATGCGTGGAGCACGATCATGAGTGGCATGAAAATGTAGCAGTGGTATGAAAATGCAGGTGTGGTATGAAAATGAGGTCGGAACGCTAATGTCTGTCATTAACAAGTCTTATGGCTGCCGGAAGACATGAGGTCATGGCTGCGTGGGAGCAGTTGCCAGCCGTGTTACACATAAATTAGAACGCTATACAGGACAAACAAGTTTTGAGTACATTAGAACAATATACAAGACACTAAAGTGGAATTGTAAAGTATTAAGTCTGTGAACACCGAATTAAAACAACATATAATCTATTCAAAGTATTTAAGAGTATCGAGGAGACCGCCGAATAGCTCTGAATTACACGATATAATGTAACTGTTACAGGAAATAATGAAATAATTGATTGTAACTTTCAAAATGGAATGTCATAAACTTGCTTATTTTATTGGTGTTGTACTCCTGACGCCGCAATATATAGGCTAAGGGCTCTGGGGTGAAGAATATTTATCGTGGTGGGATATTGTATATAGGGGCTGTTGGGGCGCGTATCCAGGATACTTATCGTGTCGCGATATTGTATATATTGTTTAGGTGCGTATCCAGGATACATATCGTGTCAGGATATTGTATAAAGAGGCTGTTGGGGTGCGCATCTAGGATACTTATCGTGCTGGAAAATATAGGGGGGGTTTGGTGTTTGGCGCTTAACCAGGGAAAGCGGTGTATCAAAAATGGACATTTCGATTTGGCTATAGGGAAATAAAATTAGTATTTCGAAGGTCCAAATCAGAATTTTGTGTACTGTCAGTTACACAAAATATGGGTTTGAAGGGTTATTTAATTAGTTATGGGGCATAAGCATCGTCATTATTACCTGGATGAGGAATCGCGGGAATGAAGGTATTTGGAATAACGGGATGAAAAACTGTAGGAATTAGGAAGCCCGAGAAAAACGGAATTCTATATCGAATAATTCGTTAGTAGCGATTAGAGTATGAAAGGTTCAGGTTTTTACCATTACATGTAGTGATTAGAATTTGAAAAGTTTAGATTTTATTGCAGCTGGTGGAGGGTAATTAGCATATGAGGGTTGTTGGTTTTGGATAATTGGGATAAGAGGGAGCTGATGGAGGGTAATTTGGAAAGTAGGGAGCTGGAGGATGGTAATTGGGATTTTTGGGAGCTGGTGGGGGGTAATTAGGATATGTGGGAGCTGGTGGAGGGTAATTGGGATATGAGGGAGCTGATNAGGGTAATTGGGATATGAGGAAGCTGGGGAGGGTAATTGGGACATATGGGAGCTGGGGAGGATATTTGGGATATGAGGGAGCTGGGGAGGGTAATTGGGACATATGGGAGCTGGGGAGGATATTTGGGATATGAGGGAGCTGGGGAGGGTAATTGGGATATGAGGAAGCTGGGGAGGGTAATTGGGACATATGGGAGCTGGGGAGGATATTTGGGATATGAGGGAGCTGGGGAGGGTAATTGGGACATATGGGAGCTGGGGAGGATATTTGGGATATGAGGGAGCTGGCGGAGGGTAATTAAGGACAAGATGTGATGTTATTATCATCTTTTCAGTAATGAAGGCAGTGTTGATTATAATATATTTTAATTTCCTTTCAAAATACCTTCGCTCGAATTTTACCTTGGGTTTTTACTAATTTTCTGTTCCAAATCTCTATTACATTCAGTACAAAACTTTCATTTCGTTGTTAATTAAAATATAATCATTCATTTTCCACAATGTCTTAAAAGACTTATTGAAATCTTATTCGCTAGCTTTTAATTTTCAATTGGAATTGCAATTTAGTTTTAAACTGGTTTCAACTCTGTCTATTTCAGATTTCTCTCCAAATATTTTTCATAATCATCATGACATATACCTCATTTTCTTCTTATTGTGTTGAATCATTTTCTTATTTCTTCAGAATTTCCTAAAAATGTTTTCGATCCGTTTCAAAGTGTTTCCACATTTACGAAAATTGTTATTTGAAACTCATGGAGTAAGTTAAACTTGAGAGCTAAAGTCCGTAGAGTTTTCAATTTCGCTTTTACCTGAACTGTATAGAAAACGATGAGTGCTGCCGAGAAAACGGTGTGTGCTGCATAAAAAACGGTGGGTTCTGCATAGAAAACGGAGAGTGTTGGATAGAAAACGGTGAGTGCTGCATAGAAAACAGTGGATGCTGCATGCAAAACGGTGAGTGCTGTATCGAAAACGGTGAGTGCTGCATAAAAAACGGAGGGTTCTGCATATTAAACTGCGAGTGTTGCATAAAAAACGATTAGTGTTGTATATAAAACGTTGAGTGCTGCATAAAAAACGATAAGTGCTGCATAGCAAACGGTGAGTGCTGCAAAGAAAACGGCGAGTGCTGCATAGAAAATGGTGAGCGCTATATAGAAAACGATGAGTGTTGTATATAAA